TTGTTGTTTTTATCTTACGTTTTATTTGTTGAAATTGTAAACGATGAATTTCTCGATAAAGACATTCAGTATTAAATGTAAAATCAAATTCATATGATGTATGTGCTTTACATTCATATTCATCCGAAAAACTTCCATATATTGATGAACATTTACTATTTAAACCATGACATACCTAGAAGAAAATATTTTATATTAATAAAAAAAATTAAATGTCATTCAAACGATTATAACGAACTTGAAGATAAGAATATGGATCAGATTCTTTCAATGCTTCAATTGAAAATTGTAAAAAACCTGTTGTTCTTTGTATATGTGCATTATATGTTGAATATTGTTGATGTATTAAAGATATTTTTCTTTCAATTTCTTTATGTATATATGTTAATAATTCTTGTTTTTTGTTTTCAAGTGTTAGAATAAGTTTATCAATATCTTTGATTAAATTTTTTTCAAATATTTCACCATTTTTCTGTAAGAAAGAGAAAAAGAAATACTTAAATCATTCTCATGAGAATAGTTTTTTTTTTTATTGTTTGATGGATTTGTTCATTCAATCGTCTTCATCATTGAAATGATTTTATCAAGAGAAATATGATGATGTTGTTACGTTACTTTAGCTTCTTATCCTTGCATGTATTCACAACCGACATGCACATCTCTTGAGAGACAGAGATGAGAAAAAAAAAACGAGATTCTTCTAACAAGGTTATTTTGTTTGAATGATGGATCTAATGAAGCATACGACTAATAGTCATTAGCCATTCCCGAACGAAAAAAAAAAAACCGAGATCAGATTTATTTTGCTTATACTATTAAAATCAAAACTCTATACCAGGTGATTTGAATATTAATATGTTTCTCAGTTGGATCAATTTATTTAATCGAATGATAAAATAAATATATGAACTAAATATGACCTTCAATAATAAATGACCAGACGATTGACCATCTGCCTTGATTATCTCTATCTATGTTAACCTCCTGCTAGCTGTCTTCGACTTTCTTTTTCTTCTAGTTGTTCGATCATATAAAGAAGAAGAATGATCAACTCTTATCAGAAGTAAATTACCTTGATATAGTCTGGATAAAGCTTCAATTTGGCTAGAAATTCAGCACCATATTTGGCTTTTTCCGATAAGCATTGTAGTTGCGATGACAATTGAGTCTAGACACAAGGACAGACATTAAATTTTTTTTTTAAGTTAAAAATATTAAAAATTGATTGACAACAGAAAGAATAAAAAAGAAAAACGAGAAGGTGTCACCGAATCAAATTATAAATTCGAAAAAAAAAAAGAAAGTGATTTATGCATACACATACATTTCCGTTGATTGCATCATCCTACTTTTTTCAATTTACATAGTAATGTTTCTTGGGAAGACAAGCGGAACAAAAAACTAGAAGTTTGTATTATAACAAAAGAGAGAGAGAGAGAGAGAGAAACGACACTTCACCTCGTGCTGGAACAATAATAGTTTAGATAGCACACACATGCATATATACGGTCATCAAAAAGAATCTTGCCGCTCGAGCGAGAGTGGTCATCCGGTCTCTTTCTCATTGTTTGCATCGCTAATTGAAAAAAGAGAAGTAGAATTATTCTTTTTCCGTTTTTTTCTCTCATTAATAATGAAAAAATGTGAAACGAGATGATGATAGACTAGGGACAATGGTCAGATTAGATGAATACTCACATGCACATACCCGAGAGAAAAAAAAAGAAAAAAAAAACTGAATCAAATGTCTTTCATGATGCCAAGTTATGTAACAGGTGAAAAGTTCAAAGACTATTTAACAGTGAATCCCAAAGGAAGTTTTAAGACGGTATATATATATATATATTGGCTTCGTTAATTTTCAAAAACAATGCCTTTACTATCATCTATCATCATTTGATAAATGTAAAAACAATGAGATAAATTGTTATGATTGAATATTGAATTGATAGTATATACGATTGATCTTTATGACATGCGCACGCGTGAGCACTCAGGCCGACGCCTTCGTCTTTCTCAGGGTCATCAGTTGAAACAAATTCTTTTTTTTTTTGTCTTCTCGCTCGAGTGACAACAGATGCGCTCAAGTATATATATATATACGAGTGGGAAAAAGAGGCAACATGTTCAACTATTTGGAATATTATAGAAAGCAAAAGACATTAGTCAGCACATTTCCTGTTTTTTGTCTTTGTCTCGTGAGCATCGGAAATGTGTCCGTCGTTCGAATTTAATTCTTCTCTTTTTTGTTATAAAAAAAAAGAAAGAGAGAAAAAACGCGAGAAGGACGCCTCAGGGCTAACTGACCACTCTCTTGAGAAGACAAGAAGACGGATGTGATCTTGACCGTATGCCTGTGCGTGATAAGCATTTTGTCTGGACTATAGTGAACTAAACTGGACAGACCAGTGCTGATTAAAAAAAGAAAAAAAAAGAAAGGACGACTTCCGGTTTTAACATGCAATCAGGGAATCTTTGATTTACCTTATATAGTTTAGATGCTTGGTGAATAGGTACAATATCGTGATTTGTATGTATCAAACATTGTTGACAACATTCCAATCGACAATGAAGACAGTAACTAGTTGCTAAACGATTTGTATGTTCATGACAAAAGATTTTTTCATTCGAATTATTCGAGAATTGTTGTAATGCATCGAGAAAGTTATGTTTTGAATATGGACCACGCATTGGATGATATTGCTCACGACATTGATCACAATATCCAATTCGACATTGTTCACAGATACGTGTGATTGGTCGTTCTTCTGAAGGTCGACATAATTGACACTTTGGTGTTTGTTGTTGTTGATGTTGTTGTTGTTGTTCAGAAGATTTTTCTCCAAGATAACGATTAACAATATCAGCTATAAGACGATTTTTCGGTAAACTTTTTATACCCGATATATCCATGAAAATTATTTTTGAACATACAGGACATTGTAAACAAGTTGTATATGATTTATTTGTTTGATGACGAATAGGTGTTGTCGGTAAAAATGATGATGATGATGTTGATGATATTTCAGGTAAAGCTGGTGGTAAAAGTAAACTTGATGGACGACTGGAAGATGATATTGATGACGATGATGATGATGACGATGATGACGAACTAGATGATGATGGTGAATGTCGATTTATAAGAACACCTGAGTCATTGTCACTTGTTAAAGAAAGTTTATCAAGATCGGATGCAAAAGATGTTGATGATATATCAAGTGTAGATTGATTATGATGATGTTCATTTGTCGTTTGAATTGAAGTCAACGCACATGTATAACATAGAGAATGTGTACACGGTAAATAAACAGGTGAACGATAATATTCTTTGCATGATGGACAACGAAGTTCGAGATCCATCAGTTCAACTGTATCTCTTTTGAGACAAGTGACGATGAAGAATGATAATTTTTCTATGTGTGTGTCTATATGTATGTGTGTTCAACATTAGACGAGAACGAGAGAGAGAGAGAGAGAGAGGCAGAGGAGAGACACACATACACATACATCTCTTTCTCTCTCTTTCTATTTCTCATTGAAAGAGGAAAAAATCTTTCTCCATCTCTCTTCTTATTGTTAGTCCCGTTCTTTCTCGTATGCTTTTTTTTATATGAGCGAAAAGAGAAAGAAAACGAGAGATTTCTGCTCTCTTTCTATCGTGTTCAGTAGTTTGTTCTAATGAGCTACAGGATTCGTACATGTTGTATGTTTTGAGGCCGAATAATGGCGTAATCCATGACGAATGTCCGTACAAAAAAGAATGTTAAAATAATAGATAATAAAAGAACAATTTTACTCATTTTTTTTTTGCTCACATCTATTCAAGCATTTTATATTTCGACGAGACCGATGAACTTTAGTGAGGCAATGTGATGATGATGATGATGATGATGTACAAACAATCTCATATTATTATTGTAACTAGTTTTTTTTTGTATTCTTGTTTAACATACTTGTCATTATATTATTGGTACAGTGTTAAGCTCGACTCAGACAATCATTATGTTTAAAAAGAGATTGACAATTATTTTCTTTCTTGAAAAGTAATTGTCACATTGGTGTCTATTGCTTTTCTTAAAACAAAAACCGATTACAAAGCAATTTATCGATTAAGAGAATGAAATACGTAAACGAAAATAAATATTTCGACATATTGAATCTGCCAATTTGCCAAGTTTGTGTATATTTTCTTTTTGTTGTATTTGTTAGTTTTGTAAATTGTGATAGAATATTCATGGCTATCTATCGACCTGTTTCTTTCATCTATTCTCACTAGAGAATCATGAGTATCCCTCGTGAATGTTATCTAGTCACAAGCATAACTCATTTGTTTAATTACAAATGTGTATATTATGAATATACCGATACATATATAAATAGATATATATATATCAACAATATACATTTAATCAAATACTCAAAACTTTTTATCAAAATACAGTCAAAATAGGCTTTGATAGTTATCATATTCCAGGCAGTTCTAGAGTTCGTACAATATATGATATATTCAGAAGTGCATTGACCTGTTGTTCTATTCAAAATACTATTTAAAATGTAATATAATTTTCTTGTTAAATTTGAATAACAAAAAGTTGTACAAAGTGTATTCAAAGGGCATAAAATTTGACATAGATGTTTGCATTTTTCTGTCTTCATTTCAGATTACATCCATTCAGAGATGTGGCGATAGAGTGTACACTCTTTACTTTCGCGAAATTATTGTTTCTTTCATCAAAACAGATCTGGCTCAGAAATTCTGTTGCGCATTCTTTCACATGATTGACTAATGACGACTGTATCCCTAATTTCTTTTGTCCTCATTACATCCATGCATATATTATGTATTTGAATGCTATATAGGTCTCATTTTTTTTTGTTTCTGATTGAGTTTTTTTGTTTTTTAATAAAAAAATTTGCTTTACCAAAAATATATATATATATACTTTCTACCATACATTTGCTTTTAATTGAATTTTATAACAACAAATTCTATAATAAAGATGAATCGAGATTTTTCCCACATAGCAGTAGTTCGTATGTCCCATAAAAAACTTTTAAAATGTCAACGTTCCAAAAAACAAAAGATTAAACAGCGTTTTTATTTCAATCGATCAAAACGACGATATTCAAAAAAAATTCAATCTAGTATTATACATCAATTAAGTTCGAATAGTATTTGTTTTTCTAATGCATCAAAACGTCATCATTCAGTATTATCATCGAATACGAGTCAGACGATCATCAATCGAAAACAAAATAATATTGATAATGAAATACAAGAAAATGGAATCTCTATACGAACAAAAAAAGAAAAAAATCAATCGAGTTTATCTAATCCTGTTCAAGATTGTCTTCCTATTAATTCAATTATCAATTCAACAACATATTTTGATATGTCTAATACTCATCGATTCTTAAGTCGTAATCATCAAATAAATCCTATTAACAGTGAAGATTTGTTTAAAGATGATTTTATAATAAATATTGATGAAAGGTATATTTCAAATTTTTTCTTTTACAAATTATGTTCTTAATAAACATGAACAGGAATCGAAGAAAAAAGAAGAAAAAGAAATTTAATTTATCACCTTGTAAACTTTGTTTATGTATCCTTGTTTTATTCTTAATTATTGGATGTATTATTGGTGCAATTGTATATGGAGTTAGTCGATCGAAAAGTATGCTAAACTATATTCTATTTTCATCTTTTATTTTATATTTCATAATCTTAAATCTTTAGATTCAACAGATGCAGGTAAAATTTTTATATAACTCAAACATTCTGTTTTTCTTTTGTCTTTCATGAATATTTATGTTAAACTAGACACAACTACTTTATCGTCAAGTAAGTATGTTCAATGGTCTTATAGTTATTGCAAATAAAAATATCTTTGACAGTTGTAACAACCACTCAAAATTCTGTATGTACAACGGGTGGTATTACGTGTCCAACACCGTTGTTTTCTTGGAATAGAACAAATAACTGTACCAAGTCATCATCATCATATGTTTATTATACGTGTTGTTATCAAGCAGTATCAACTCAGTTGACAATTCGATTTAAACTTCAAGAAGAAGTTACTCATTGGTATATTGATGATGTTAGCATGATACAGGGTAATGGTGAACTTATAATTAATGGTGGTTTTGAATCGAATTTAACCGGATGGACAATAATACGTTCAACAAATCTTTCAGTAACATCGTATGCAGATATTGCACCAGGTGCAGCACATTCTGGATCAGCGTATCTTTATTCAGCAGCAATATCCACGCCCGATTATATAAAACAAACTGTTAATGTTATTCAAGGTCAAAATGTGAATATTAGTTTCTGGTGGTTTGATGAAGGTGGTGTTGGTGGTTCATTCGATATATGTGAAGGAACTGTAACACTTATTCCTTAATTATGTTCAAAAATTATAAACATAAAGCCATGCCATTATGAATCGATATTTCGTTAATTGAAAAGAAATAAATTAAAAAAACAACAAACATATTTGAAAATTGTTTTATCTTAATGTAATAGTCATTTGACAAATTTTTGTCTGATAATATATACAGAACTTTCTCTGTCGATCTATAATAAATGATTATTTATTTCTGTTGTCTTTGAATAATAATAAATATTTGCTTGAAATAAGTTGATACATTCTGCTAGATCTACTGTAAAGATAAGCTAGCGAGAGAAATGTCCTAAATGATTAATCGGTTTTTAGGTGGAAGCATGTGCATCATAGAGACTTGAAATGAGTTATGAATACCCTTTAAAGAGCCTGGATCCTTTGCATATTGCTACGAAGATACTGCACCAATATGGTATTTTCTTGAACTCGATGCCATGGTTCATCTCAAGAACATCAAGAAAATTGATTTTCAAATTTCGACCTAAAGCTTTGCATACGGGCAGGCCTTGACGAGAAGAGTTTATTGTGAGATTTTTAGACCTTTTGATATGCTCTTATCCTGAAATACGAACGTCAAATCTACCAGTGGATATGAACGATGTAAAAGACACCCTTTTACCATAGTTGTATTTTAGAACAGAAACGGCGACAATATTTAAAAGATTCACCAAAACCTAGTCTTGTTAAGACCTGTCTCTACGCATGCATAATTTCAAGTTAAAATTCGAAAATATGTTTTCTCTGGTGTTCCTGCGTAGGACAATGATATTCATTTTGAAAATACCATAAAAGTGCAGTATTTTCGCAGCAATAAGCTAAGGATATAAACTCTTTTCAGAATATTCATAGCTCAGTTGAGTTTACATGATGCACATAGTCTCAACTAGAAAACGATTAATAAGTTTGGAAGACTTCTTTCATAAGCCAGTATATAAAGACCTAAGTTATTTATAAACATATGTTAATGATGTTGTGCTTCATGATAATATTATTATTATTATTATTATTATCTATTCAGTTAAAATAATAATTCGAATGAAAATATTGGTGTTAAACATACATAACTATCTGATATTCAAGCTAAATTTTGTAATGTTGTGAGGGTTTTTTCAATGAAACTTAAAATAGCCGATATTTAATTAAAAAAAAAGGCAGACTGACGATTCAATGGAGACATTATTACTAAATAAATATATATTAAAGCAGAGTGCAATGAATAAAACGATTCATCAGATTAGAAATAGAGACATCGCAGTACATAGAAGTATTGCACAATGCGAACAAATAAAGTTTTTGCTGCAGAAATGTTTTCAACGAAAAGTCTTAACTCTACTTTTTATTAGTCTTTGATTTTATTGGAAAACCATTTAGACTAAAACTACTATTTCTTTTAGAAAATGATCTTTCAAATAATATTGTCGTGCTTGAAATTGAGCTTGATCGTGGAAAATTATTAGTATCATTTACAACGAAATTTGTTGGTTTTTCTTTCTCTTATATATTCATGTTATTCATTATTATTCCCGTTATTGAATGAAAAAAAAAACAGAAGATGGTTCAGATAATGATAATTATTGTTACATTAAAATGCTATAAAAATGAACTTGTTGAAGTTTCGAATTGCATTATATTTTCTGTTCACTATCTTATGAACCACCTTGCGAACGTGATCGAAGTAGGTTTTTAATAGAAATTATGATTGAATAAAATTTGAACGAGAGCGATCGATCTTTTTTATGCATTCAAGGTTAATTGATGACTGATTGAAGTCAATGGACAGTATGACAAGAAAATAGAACATCATTTAAACATTAAAAACAGTAGAACATAAAAAACTCGATCAGTTTAAAGTTACACTTAGCACACTTTGAAGATATGTATATAGATCGAAATGTAGAAACCTTCGAAAATAAACATGAGTTCCAATGACATATGGATTACACAATAAACATGAGGTGATAGAATATGTTTCAATTCAAATTTAAAAAGAAATCTTTTTTTCCGAATTTTTAATGAATATGATCAAAATGTGCTAATGAGAAGTAACAAAAAAAAATGTTAGTAGAATGGGTAGAAAGTATAAATGAATATGAAGGAACAATATTGAGAAAAAAATTAGATAAGTTACATAGTAGAAACATTTGTAATAGAATTAATAATACTTTGATTTAATATTTGAAGACAAGATGATCTATCAAGTTTTGTCTAGTACTAAAACTACATGTATGATTTATTGAAACTCTCGACACTAAACACATCCAAATTAAAGAGTCAGTTCGATCGATCGATAAAAATTCGATCAATAACGAACAAAGTTTTGTACACGATTATTTCTAAGATCAGATACTAGAGATTGAGTTGATTATCAATGACAACTGACAAAAAAAAGTTGAATTAACAGATCTGAAGTATTACTACTATTTGATCAGCAATCATCGAGTCATTTGTTTCATTACCTAAGAACAGTTGTTTGCGATTGTTCTGTGAATCTGCTACATAAATATTACCAATAGGATCTAATGTAGCTTCTGTAGGATTTCAAAGTATTGTCGGTGTGGAATTACTTTTTCCAAGAATATTCCCCACTATGAGTATCCAATAAGTAGTACCCAATAGTCGACAAGCAACATTTTGGACATAGAAATTTACAATAATAACACTGTTCGATATTGAATTGAAATAAATACTGAAAGGATTAAATAGCTTAGTAATACTAGTCTCTAATCCAGTTCTACTAGCATTCATCGTCTTGAATGAATTACCATTAAGGTAGCTCATTATACCGTGATTATCTGTGTTGGCTATATAAAGTATGCTCGAGTTTACATTACGCGATATACCACAAAAAGTGCATAATTGATTGTTTGCAGAACCATTAGTGCCTAAAAATATAGTTTTATATATGAATTAGTCTTAAGTCACAAGTTTCATTGGTAACAAGTAGGTAACATTATAAAAGCAACCTTCTTACAGTTCTTTTTTTGAGAACAAAAGCCTCTAGAAAAAGTTGAGAAAAAAGTTTTTAATATAAGCCTTTCCATGAGACATACAATATATGCTAACCATGCACACTGATGAAGAGTACAACGTCATCTAATAATTCGCTCAATTTCTTCCATTGCATAGCAAATTTTACTATATACTTTTTATTTTTGAAGAAAATATTTGTATTTGTTGTTGATTGTTCATTTACCATGGTAAGCAAACATATGCACATACTCAGTGGCGCCATACTGTGTTACATAAGAATAACAATGGAAACTATGATCACTCTTATTCGACAAATGATTGTTCGTAGTGGACACTAACGGATTTTCTTTTTCTATAAATAAACGTTTATAATACAAAAACTTGACAAAACAATAAGATTTTCAGTCAATTAAAACAAACTTTAAAAGAAGTTTATCAACCAAACATACTGATGAAATTCTTGTGATTATGACTAAATATTATTGCCAGCGAATAAAGAAACATATTTGATAAATTGGTTCGTTCGTTTCACATGACTCGTAGCTGATTTTCTTTTAGATGAATGACGAAAATTTATAGAATCAGTTGATTTTTTTGCAAGACCTATTATTCGATAGTGAGTAAAATCAATTTTTCATGTCTTTCACTAATAAAACACGATTCAGCTGATGACACAACAGATGAATCTTTCGATAGATGACCTTACATTAATTAATTAAACAAGACACAAAATCAATATCGGATCGCTTAGTACAACATGAAAAAATGCATGTAATCATACGAAATCTTATGGTGTTGATGGTTCTCTAATATTTACCTTCATTGCTAAAAGAGAATCATCTTTATAGAGACGAATAAGTGTTCAATTCATAATATATCATTTGTTTATCCCATTCTTTTAGTGTTGTACAATGTCGATTGTAAAATCTCAAAAAAAATCAAGAACCAACTTCTACTCAATAGTTTTTCTGATTGACAGACCAATACATCTGAATTGATTTGGCATTGTTATAAAAATGATTGTGCTAGTCATGTGTGTTTTAACAGCATACAACATGTTCAAGTAACAGACAATCTTCATGCACTAAATCCTAAAAAGACAATTTCGATCCAATTTAAATCGAAGATTTTTTTCTGTGAATTTGGACATATCCGAATAAAATTATTTTCTTGTATTTCTTCAATTTTCTCTTTCTGTCAAGCTCAAGTATTGGCATTTTAGCTGTTATTGTACCCATTCAGCTTTATGAGGAAATTATGAAATCTGTTTGTTTCTTGTAAGTTTTTCATGTATTAACAAACTTCCATAAATTGTCTGAAACTTAATAAGTGTGACATATATAGTAAACGAACATATGGATACTCAATTTTTGATAATAAAACAAATACAGTAAAACCTTTTATAGTGAACACTTCGTAGTCTGATGAAGTGATTTTTGCTGGAAATAAACTTCTCTATACTGGACATCGTCATATAGTTCTATGGTAAATACTTATTGAAAAGTCTGAAAAGTGTTCACTATAGAGAGGTTTTACTGTATGTCAATAAATTCTACGATTCTTTGTTTGCTTATTTTGAAAAGTAAAATTATCAAGCGAATGAATATATAAATTAGATTGAGAGAAACTTTACAAATTTGAAAAATTTTATTGTTTTCTTATTTCTATTAAATGAATTACTAATCAAAATTCCGTCGAAACGTATTATTACATTCGATAATAAGCAAATACAATTCTATATTTATTTGTTCTGATATACGTTAAGATTTTCTTATTTTTTAACATTAGATGTTTTTATAGACGACGTCGATTTAGGAAAAGGTATATTAGCCATTGGTCCTTTTGTTTGTGTTTCTTGCATAGTCTTTTGAGTTGATGGTCGAAGTATTTGAAATGAACACATTAAATTTTCATCGACACTCATAACACCACCAGCATTATCAAATTCTCCACAATAATTTGGTGCAGAAAATATTGTCACTAATTGACGTTTAGCGAAAAATTCATAACCATCTTCAACAACCTAAACT